ACAAAACAGGTTCTGTTGTATAATTTTTCAGATTGTTGGAAGGCAGATTTCCAAGACATATATATAGTACTCGTGAGCCAGGGTCAAATGAGACAATGAACACCGGTTCTATACCCTTTGGTTTGAATTGGTACTTATTAGAGTTTAGTATTAAAAATAAAATTTATATGGTACCACTTATATGTACCAATCTTTTACGTTTTCATTAAATCTTAAAGATATTTGAGATTTCAAACCACCTGATTAGACTGCATTTTATTATTTTTTAAAATTATTTTTCTACAAATGTAGTTATGTGATAGATGTACTTCAATAAATATTTTTGAAATAATTATTTTTTAAAGGTATTTTTCCTCCTTTGGAACTCATCTTACCACGCTCATTCGTCTACTACAACTGTATTGTGATTTGTCATCCAAATTGTCATGTGATCTGTGACAGCGCTAACCTAATGCTCAAGGACTCGTGGCTGACATATAACTTCGAGTCTAAGCCAATCAAGACCCGCCGTGTAGTGGTGCTGATGCATGCTAAATCCGTCGTGACTTATCCTACCGTTGGGGTGATGTGTCAGTTTAAAAGAGGGTTGCTATGTCAGGTGTCCTCGTCAGATGATCATGGTTCAAATTTACGAGTTCCATATATGTATTGTATGTATGTATTGTATGTATGTATTGTATGTATGTATTGTATGTATGTATTGTATGTATGTATTGTATGTATGTATTGTATGTATGTATTGTATGTATGTATTGTATGTATGTATTGTATGTATGTATTGTATGTATGTATTGTATGTATGTATTGTATGTATGTATTGTATGTATGTATTGTATGTATGTATTGTATGTATGTATTGTATGTATGTATTGTATGTATGTATTGTATGTATTAGATTGTATGTATGTATGTATTGCATTGCATGTACTGTACTGTATTGTATTTTGTACTGTACTGTATTGTATTGTTTAAATTTTCAATCGTTAATAAAATACCCACGCTTCCACTCGACTTCAAATACAGGTTTTTAAACTTGTAGTGGATGTCTTTTGATGTTAACACGTCGTTTTTTCAAATAATAATTCATCAATTAAATTTTTTAAGGAATAAATAGAAACTAACAAAAAAAAAATAGCCCAACACCTTATATAGAAAGGAAAATCGCTCGTTGTGTTCCTGTAGTGCAATGGATAGGGCGTTGAACTTCTTATCCAAAGGTATTGGGTTCGAATCTCACGTGGGATGGCTTAATTTCTGATAATGTGATATCTTTTCTTACTATGCTATTTTATTGGAATAATTAAATTTAATTTTTGAATAAATAGTAACAAAGGAAAAGCAATAGTCCAACACCCTATATAGATAGGAAACTGAAAATTTGCAAGAAAAATCGCTTTTTATTTTGCCAATTAAAAGTGTGATTCTGTCGTATGCATATACATATTTATATTAATTGTAATTATTTAATAAAAAGTAACTAAAATAAAAATTTTCTTTGTTGACCTAAGTAGGAATTGACTTAGAAATAATTCTTTTTTATAATACTGGTTTTTGTTATTTATTTTTGTGTTTCCTAATATTTTGATTTTCCCTATTTTAAAAACGTTTCAAAAATATTTTTGAAAATTTTGTGAAGTACTTGCTTCTAAGCGTTCCATTTATATTTGTCTTATCGATTTTACGTAGCTTATTTGGATGATAAGCCCAGGTGTAATGTAACGAAAAAATAACTGCTTCGGAAGTTCACGTTTCGGAAATAACTTATGCTTTCGACTGCACTTTGAATATTTAAAAACTGAAGCAATTTCGAAAAATTCAAGTCGCTTTAGAGGACGAGATTACGAGAATGCAAATACGGAACATTTCTCTCCGGAAAGGATGAATAGTATAATTTTTCAATTCTAAATCTGATATTTGAAACATGTTCATGTTTGAGTATCGTTTTAGAATTGGAAGACCTTTGATAAACATAGATGATTGAAAATACCGGTAAGTTCTCAATAAATAGTACCCAACTGATATTTTTAGAAAATGTCACATTTTGTAAATAGTTTTTCTGAGATAAGAATTCGGAATTTTTTTTCTTCTTTTATTGGGAGCAATAAATTTTTCAGCCTGTTCAGATTGTATTAATATACGTGCTTTTTGCCAAACTATTTTATACTTAAAAATACATTTTTAGATAAAATAATTTATTACTAAGAGGGTTTTTTTTATTAAAGGCAGAAATATAAACATACATTGAAGCAAAAAAAAGAATAGTTTATAAATTTTAATATGGAAAAACTCTTTTTCCCTATGTATTTTCTGAACTTACGACCAACTTCGCCAAATCCAAAAAACATCGCCACCATTATGGCATTATTACATACAGAATTATAAACATACTTGAAGAAAAAAAAGAGCATTTTATAAAATTGAAAACGGTAAAAGTACTAATTATTTTCAAATTTTACGTATTAAACCATCGACCAATTTCGGCAAAAAACATCGCCAAATCAGAAGAAGTCGCCAAATATTGCTATCGTTTGTTCGAAGAATAATAATGTGTTTGTCCATTCGTGGTTACAGTTTTCCACTAATGGCTGCATATCGCAGTATTTGGCAACATTTCATTAAACGAACCGATGTACGCGTTATAAAATACGTGTATTTCAGAATTTCCTTCATAACAAAAGGACAAACATAGAGTATGGTTTATGCTTCCTAATGACAAGTTTTGATTAAAATAATTAACCCTTAAAAAAAGAAATTTGCATTCTTATTAAAGGTATTTAAAATTAGATTAAATTTCACGCCCTAAAAAAACGGGGGTTAGCAAAAATTCCAATTAGTAATAATTTTTTTTAAAAAAATTTAATGATCGTTTGGTGGATTAGTTTTATATTTTTCAAAATCATTGTGTGTGTGTGTGTGTGCTTTTTAGTTAGCATAGTTCTTAAAGTATTTTGGGTTTTTTGGGGAAAAAAAAAAAATTTTTTGGGGTCGAGACTTGGGCGTAAAGAACTCCTTTAGGGGTTCAACCCTCAATTAATTCCGCCGAATGGCTAGTAAATTTGAAGAAAAATTTTGAAATTTTTTTAAGCTTTTATACAATTAAATTTCAATTTTCCCCAACGATTTCGAAGCTCGTTGATATATCTTTGCATACTATGCCGAGGTCTGGGTTCGATTCATTGGTAAACATTTCCCTTTTAGTATTTTTAAAATTAAATAAACTTTTTTTATATGAAAGGTTGATTAAATATTGAATGATATTTTATGTAATTATATATATTTTTTTGTATTTTAAAAAGAAAAAAATTTAAAAAAAATTTATTTTTTAAATTATTTATTTTTAAAAAGTATTTAAAATTATTATTAATAAAAATATTTAAAATAATTATTAATAATTAAAATTTTTTAAAAATAATTATTATTTAAAACTATTTAAAATAAATTTTTTAAATTTAAAAATAATTAAAAATTTAAAAATTAATCAATAAAATTATTATTAATAAATTATTTTAAATTAATTTATTTTAAAAATTATTATTTTATTATTAAATTTATTATTTACTTTGAAATAATTATTAATTTTTTAAAAATTATTTAAAATTGACTTTTAAAATTTTTAAATTTTTTTAAAAAAGGACTTATTAAATATTTTTAAAAATTAAAAAAACTAAATTAATAATATATAAAAAGACATATTATTTATTATTTTAAATTATAAAAAAATTTAATAATAATATGCTTTATAAATTATTTTTTATTTATATAAAATTTTTTTTTAATATATTTTATTTCCCTTTTAAAAAATATTTGTAACTCATTTTATGTTTAAAATCATTTAACATTTTTTATATACTTTTATTTAAAAAATTATTTATTTTAAAAAAAATATTTATAAAAATTTAAAATAAATATTTATATAGTTACAGTATTTTTTTTTACTTCATAAAATACAAAATAATTACATAAAATATCATTTAATATTTAATAAACCTTTCATAAATAAGTTTATTTAATTTTAAAAATAATTAAATGAAATGAAAAAAAAAAAAGACGACCGATGAGACTCAGCAGACCTCGCGCATAGTATGCAGACAATGTATCAACCAAACTACGAAATCGTTGGAGGAAATTGAAATTTAATTGTATAAAAGCTAAACATGAATTTCGAAGGCTTTTTTCTCCAAATTGACTGATCATTCGGTGGAATTACATTGAGGGTTGAACACCGTGAAGGAGTTCTACTATTACACCAAGTCTAGATCCCAAATGAATTTCCTTAGTCGTGCCCTCTCCTTGTGAAACTTATCAAAATAGAAAATAATACGTTGGGAATTGAATTATGAAACTGGTTAGTAGAAATGATTAAACTCGCAATATTATTTTTAGTTTTTGTATGTTATGCTTCGCAACAGATAATAAATTTCAAGATGATAGAAAAAAACATGAAGCAAAATCCTTAGTAAGTTACTCTTTCTTAAGAATATCTATTACAAAAATAATATTTATAGATTAGTTATAAAATTTGTCCTGCTGTTTGTTTCCTAAACTAAATCTCTTACCATTGTAAAAAGGAAGACGAAATATGAAATAGAACAGTGCGTATAATGAATGACAATAGTACTGGTTTCGAATTTAATGAAATAAAAGATCCTTATTTTGTGTGAAGTTATTAATATAAAAATAATTTAAATGTTTAATTAATTTAACTAAGAACAAGTAATATAATTTTTTTTTAAATCAATTCCTACTTAGGCCAACAAAGAAACTTTTATTTTAGTTACTTTTTATTAAATAGTTACAATTAATATAAATATGTATATACATATCACACAGAATCACACTATTAAGTGCAAAATAGAAAGCGATTTTACTTGCAATTTTCCATTTTTCTTTCTATATAGGGTGTTAGACAATTATTTTTTGTTACTATTTATGCACTCATTAAATTTAATTTCGAATAAAAGAGTATAGTAAAAAAGAAATCACAGTCACAGAAAGTATGCCATCCCAGGTGGGATTCGAACCCACAGCCCTTGAATTAGAAGTCCAACGTGCTATCCATTACGCTACAGGGACACAGCGAGCACTATTTATTCATTAATTAAATAGAATTAAAGCATTAATATTTGGAAAAAAACTGTATTAACATCCAGTGTCATTCACTACAAGTTTAAAACAATGAATTTGAACTTGAATGGAAGAACAGAAAGTTTTTATTAACGATTGAAAATTTTAACAAGATATATAAATATATATATAGGGAGACATTAAACTAATATTATGAATTTAAAAAAGGATGAGAGAGAAAGGGGGAATACATAAATAAAATAATTATTTTTATCAAAAATTATGTGATTGACAAGTGACAAAATATTTGTTATAAAACATTTTCCGATTTTATAGATGAAAATAAAATGTTTTTTTTATAGTTTTTCACACTTATATTACAAGAATACTTAGTTTGGATCGCGTTTTTCAATAGCTTCATTTTTCTCTTGTTAAAATTTGAAGGGTTTTACTATATGCCAATTTTCAATATTAAATTCCATTGCTGTATTTAACAATGAACTGAAAATAAACCAGGAATTTTCTCGTAAGCAAGGGAAATTTTATGAAAAAAGTCACTTAGGAAATCTAATATCTGCCAGAATTTCACTAAGTTTCGTTTTCAGAATTTGTAGATAGCTTTTACAATCTGTATAAGTCGTACTTACCTCCAAAAATTTGAGGGAGAATTGCGATATCTGTGTCCAATATAATAGCATTCTTCGAAATTTGGATTCTTTCTCGCTCAATTTAGATATATTTTTTTTAAA